TGTTTGATGAAGGAAATGTTTGTTGCTGGGACGGATACTACATTCACAACTCTCGAGTGGGCAATCTCTGAGCTAATAAGACATCCAAGAGCAATGAAAAGACTCTTACAAGAACTAAGAGAAATAGCCCAACAAAAACCTAGAATCACAGAGGAAGATCTAGAGAACACACAACACCCATACTTAGAAGCTGTACTGAAAGAGAGCATGCGATTGCATACTCCACTTCCACTACTTGTTCCTCGAGAATCAACACAAGATGTCAAACTTATGGGCTATGACATTGCAACTGGAACTCGGGTGATGATTAATGCATGGGCGATATCAAGAGATCCTAATATATGGGAAGAACCAGAAGAGTTTATGCCAGAAAGATTCTTGAATAGTAGCATTGACTACAAAGGTCTTGACTTTGAACTTCTTCCCTTTGGTGGGGGCAGAAGAAAGTGCCCTGGTATTCATTTTGCTATGGCTATTAACAAGCTTGCTTTAGCAAATTTAGTGTACAAGTTTGACTTCAAAGTGCCAAATGAAGGGAAAGTGGAAGAATTAGACATGAGTGAGTCTAGTGGGCTTACAGTCCATAGGAAGTACCCTTTGCTTGTTATACCAAATACTCGTTTTTAGATTTTATTCTAAGGTTGATGCCACATCGATCTAAGGTAGTAGGGTACCTTGGAAAACATTTGTTTGATAATCCCTAAATTTTATAGCTTGTACCTATTGTTTTTAGTTGTCAAAATATGTCTATGTATATGAATGTTTATCTGTGCTTGAATTATAAAAAGCTAATGGCATCATATATCAGGTAGCTTTCGTGAATAAATACAGTGTTGATCAGAAGTAGATACCACATTACTAATACATAGAGATCATAATATTAAAGCTTTAACTTTGGTAAGAAAATTCCCCAAAAAAGTTATCTTTGTAGAAATGACAAATGGAAGTCTTTTAACATGCATTTGCACTGTTATTTCATACTTTGGGATGCACTACAAGAGTTAAGGCTTTACACTATGTATAGTTTTATCTAATAGATCAGGTACACATCTTCTGTATTCATGTTACATATTGTGTATTTATATAGCCTTGAGATTCCCGGTGTGGTCATGAGTCCAGCATAACAAAGTTCCCTATTTGCTTTTAAGATTGTAATTTCAATAATAGATGCTAGTGATAAATTGAAAGGGTGTATGTTGTATATACATGCAAGTAAAAAAAATTGTTTTACCATTTGGAAATTCTAAATACTTGCTATATGTCGGGTTTTTTAGCTGTGACCCGGTCCAAATACATTGTAGACCATGTACAAAAATAAAATATGACCATCAATAATTTACATATAAATTAAAAAAGAAAAGTAACTATATTGACTAGAAAGAAATTTGAATGGGCGTTAATTAGAGGTGAGCACCAAAACCAATTTTAAAAAATGTACATAAACTGATTGGAATTTCTATATGTACAGGAAAATTGTAAAAAACAAAACCTTTGAAGTAGGAGCAAAAAGAAATTGAACCATGGTGGATCGGGTAAAAGGCCAACGATAACTCAAGCCCAACGACTAGAGAATTAAGTGGGTTTCCCACTTTCCTGCGAGAATTTTGCAAATATAAATATTTATTGTAAACAAAAACTTACAAAAGAGAGTTTTATAAATATTAATATTATTGAAAACAAAAACTTACAAAGAAATATGCACATAGAGGGACTCAAACCTTGTAGTTTTGAAATATACAACAAGCGCTCTATCTATTTAGACTACGTCTAGTTTTTTCTTTTCTTTTTTTTTTCATTTTTTAGTTAGAAGGAACAATTCCGTTTATATAAAATGTCAGTGAAAATATTTTCTCATAAATCGGCATTATGCCTCTCACGATATATTAAATATCATCATATACAAAGGGGCTACAAAAGAGTACAATGGACTAAATACAATAGTGGGCTTCCTAACCAAACTAACAAACAG